TTTTTTTATTGTTCCCTGCAGTCCATTTTAAAGGTCTTACCAGGGCTTTTTAAAGTTCTGTTCCAGGGACACTCATATTCATTCCTTTAAGAAAGCTAAAGGGCATCTTTCAATGTGTAGCTTATTAACAGTATGGTTCTTATCTAGTCTTGTCTATCTGGCTAAACAGCTGCAATTCTCTAAGTGTGTACTAAAGAATTTATTTTTTATCTATGGGAAGTAAAAAACTCATATAATCCTTAAAAAAAAACCTTGTTTTCATAAAATAACCAAGAAAAGGAAACTAACATGACTGCCTATGCTCAAGTGGGGAAAGGCAGAAGCCAGGAAACCAGTTAGGAGGTTATTGAAATAATGCAAGCACCAGATGATGGTGGCCTGGATCAGGGTGGTGACAGTGGAGGGTTCGAGAAATGGTGGAACTGTGACTCCTCTGGGTTCATCTTGAAGGATGTGCAGACAGAATAGAAAGCACCAAGGCTTGGGCAACCTGAAGAATGGAGTTTCTTCAGGTTGAGGGGCTGGCTTAAGAGCAGGGTTGGGGAGTGATCAGGAGTTGTCTTGGACGTAACAGCCTCTGGGATGCCTTAGTCACCTACCTAGGGTCGCGGTAGGCTGCTGGGTGCACCAGTGTCACGTTCAGGGGAAGGGCTGGGGTGGACGTAGGCATTCGGGGCTCACTGGCATTGACATGGAGAGCCCAGGAGACTGGATGCAGTCATCTAGGGAGTGTAGACGGAAAACAGGTTCAAGGTCGTGTCAGCCCGTGGGAAGCTTCCTGGAATAATTAACCGTTGGCAGAACTGTGGCAACGAAACGTCCACGCCTCCAGGGAGCCTATGCACAAAGAGCCCGGAGGCTGGGAGGACTATTCTAAGGGTGCGGAGCCTGGGGCAACGTCAGCGACCAGGTCGGAAGGGAGCCGCAGCCAGCGAGGGCGCGCGCACGAGGGCAAAGGCCAGCGGGTCGGGCCCAGCAGCCCGGGCTCCCTGGGGGCCGTGCCCCACCTAGTGCCTGAGTGGCCCCGCCGCTCCGCGGCCGCACTCGCGCAGTCGGCGCTGGTCGCTCTTCCCTGGCAGGGCGGCTGCCGCTCACCCGCCGCGCTGGGCAAAAAGGAAACTTGGGCGCCGGGCTACGTTACCAGCGGAGCGGCGCTCGAGGCCAGCCCGACAGGGACCCGGGAAGAGCTCAGCAGGCGCCTCGGGCGGGCGACAGGCTGCGGCGGCGGGCAGTTGCCAGCTCCCTGCGGCTCCAGCGGCTGCACCAACCCGGCCTCTCTGGGGAGGCGGCGCGTCGTCGTGGAAACCACGCGGTGCCCGCTGGGACTACCGGGCCGGCAGGCAGGCGCGCGCATGCGCACTAGGGCCCGCCGACGCCGCGGCGGGGAGGGGCGTGGCGGGCCGGGCGGCCGGAGCTCGCGAGTTCTTCTTGGCCCGCAGTTAGCAGGGAGGTGGCGCCGGCAGCCTCCCCGCCCCGGCGCGGCGCCCGGGCCCTGGTCCCGCCTGACTGGGAGCGAGCTGGCGGGCCCGGCGTCGGTTCTCAGGCTGCGGCCTCTCCCGCTCGCCGCCGGGTGGGAACCTGGGCCCAGCGCGAGGCTCCCGCCGGTGTGGACGCCTTTGCCCTGCGGAAGCGGGTGGACCGGGAGCAGTGGCCTTACAGCTTCTCTCCTACGCCTGGGTGTTTCCACAGTCTGACCACAGAGGGGTGCATTTTGGTGTAGGAAAATTTAGATATGGACAGACAAGGACAAGGAGAAATTTAAAATCACCCAATGATGGTTTTTTTTTTGGGCGGGGGCGTGTCACAAGCGGTTATTAGTGACTCAGTCTGAGACGAAGATGGATTCCATCAAACCTATTTTATTGATGCTTGTTACACTTCAGACACGTCCTAATTCTAAGTCATAACTGAGTCTGCACCCAGGGGTCCCAGAGGTCACCTGTGTCTTTAAGTCCAGGTCTGGTGAGAGGGGATCACAGCGACTGGTCTCTCTGTCCGGGTCCTGTTAGTCCCATCGCCCCCCTCCCCCACCTCCCAAGTCTGGGTTTTTAAGCCCTAGTTCAGTTGTGCTTGTAGCTGATAACTGAGTGAGGTCTGGGGTGTATCCCCGGGTGTAGACTACACTACTAACAAGTCTAGTTAATAGCCAAGTTTTGCAGTTCACATTACATTATGGGCACATTACTTATAGTCTTATCCAACACACACACTAATTAATAGAATCAACAGTCAATAATCTTATAATATTTCTGGTACTCATGTCAGGGATACCAGAAATTGAACTCAGGTTCACTCAGCCACTGAGCCACATCCCCAGCCCTATTTTGTATTTTATTTAGAGACAGGGTCTCACCGAGTTGTTTAGAGCCTCACTTTGCTGAGGCTGGCTTTGAACTCACGATCCTCCTGCCTGAACCTCACTAGCCGCTGGGATTACAGGCATGCGTCCTGCCCCCCAACCCTGGCTACAGTTGATTTTTAATGACTGCCCATTTTATCAGTAATTGACATTTTTAATTGTATTCACTTCTTTGTTAGTAGGAAGGACAGTTTTTTTTAAAAAAATTGTGCTTTATTGATTTGCCTCTGTCCCCTGTCCCCCTTTTTTTAGTCTGGCTCTCCCAAAATTGCCCAGGCTGGCCTGTAACTCCTGGTCTCAAGGGATCCTCCTGCTTCAGCCTTCACAGTAGCTGTGACTACTGGCATGGGCCTCCATGTTCAGGACTTTTGCCCATTTTTAGACTTGAAATTTAATGTAAATGTAATACTGACTTGGAAGAACTTTAGATGTATGAAAACTCCTTCTGTGATATGTGTTGCGAATATTTCCTCCAGTGTCAATTTAACTTTGTTTGCAATGTATTTTGGAGTCAAATACATCACATTTTCCCCTTAGGATTTCTGCCTCTGGTTTTTATGTGAGAGGAGCAGTGCATATTTCCTTTTCACACAGGCTGTTTAATTCCAATTTCGTGGGCATGGACTGGGACAAAGCTTCTTTCCATGACACCATCCCTTTCTCTGTCCACTATTAAAGAGTGCCCACCTTCAATTCTAGAAGCTTAGGTAATGAGTTATCTGCAGACAATGGGTGATAGTGGGTTTTGATGGCAGTGGTGAGCTGGGCAGCATCCCCAGGTGGACAGACAGGCGTCACCCCAGATGTGATAGTTACAGAAAGATGGGCCAATCCTTGATGGTTGGTGGAGCTCACAGGACAGTATTTGGAGCAAGTTTCTCATGAAGAGAACAACCCATTCCTTGCTCAGAACTGGAGAATGTGGAAGATGCAGAGAGTCTTCAGAGCTGCCTTTCCCATTGGAGGGGTCCCCTCTCTTTCCTGCAGTGCTCTGATGTGGGAGGCCAACCTTATGGGTGACTGAGTTACACTCCCCAGCTGGTTGCTGAGGCGCTCAGTCACAGAAATGGGAGTGTCTTGCTACAGCCCCATGGGTGAAGTTATGCTCACCTGTTTCTTTGTAATATAACCCCTTGCCCTGTTTAGGATAGAATCTTCCATGGAAGTGCCTTGTGTGTGTCCTCTTACTGTGCCCTTGGGTGTGGCCTACTCAGGTGTCAGTCAACCTGCTGACAGTGGACATCATGAAGATAGACTCAGCCCTCTGAAACCTGACCCCTTGCCTCATTTGAATAGCTTCTCCTCAATAAAAGGGGTCAGCACGTGCTCGCACGCTCTCTCTCTCTCTCTCTCTCTCTCTCTCTCTCTCTCTCTCTCTCTCTCTCTCTCTCTCTCTCTCTCTCTCTCTCTTTCTGCAGACCCTTAAGGTCAGAGGAGCTGTCACAGCGACCCCAAAGAAAAAGGTATTTGTGTCTCTTGTGTGGTTATTTCATGCAGCCCAGTTAGCCCAGTTTAACTAGAGTGACCCCTGAGCCTTTTAGTCGCGAGAACAGAAACCTGGCACTCTGAAAATCGTCATTTGAATCTTTCTGTCTCAGAATGAGTAGTCTTTGCTTCCTGCTTTTGGAGGGGGTCTTCTTCCCCCTGGAGGCATTGGTGAAGCAGCGGCCTTTTATTATTAAGCTGCTCATCTCCATCAGGCTGCACAAAAAACTTGTGCCTTTATTTCTGTGTATTTCTAGGGATGCTATAGCACATCCCCACAGACTTGGTGGCTTAGAACTATAGAGATTCATCTCATGATTCTAGAGGCCAGAAGTTTTAAATCAAGGTGTCTGCAAATTCATGCTCCCTCCAAAGGCTCTTAGGGAATTAGTCTACAAAGACCCTATTTCCAAATAAAGTCATGTGCTGAGGTTTTGGGCGAACATGAATTTTTCATCGCATTATATTTACTATGACAACCCCTTTCATCATTCCACAGAAAAACATACGTCTATATTTGCCATTTTGGTTTACCCATAAAGTTAAGTAAATTGAAACACAATATTTGGTATTATCATAAGATCATTTGAGGATCTCTGTGAAGTTTGTAGCCAATACCTCATAATTTTATAATCAAAATTAGGTCTGATCACAGAGTGTACTAGAAACGTTGAACGGCTAGCCCTCTGCATGCTTAGGATTACACAGCTCCTCTGAAGTGGTTTTGTAAGTCAGAGACTTAAAGAGCTTTAGGACTTCTGTGGAATGTTTGGTGTTCCTGCTAATTAACTTGAATTGGTGTCAATGTAATAAATTAGAAGAGATATGACAATAGAGTTTTCAAATTTCTAATTTGCACATTTTCATTCATTTTAAAAAGATAAACAATTTATTGTGAAGAGAGGAAGCACTAGAAATTTGCGTGTGGCATCTTGGAAGCTGCTCTAGTGTGGTGTAGAGAGAACCGTGTTGGGTCCAAGTCTGAAATACACCATTACTGTTCCCATTTGATAGACCCAGCCTGATTTTCTCTTAAAATTGGGAGCCATCTTGCCACAAAGCCATGAAAAGCTAATTTCAGATTTCCTAAAAATTACTGCAAATTCTGAACCTGCTTGGAATGCCTGCCGTGCCTTGAACTCACCCCTGCCTGGCTCTCCGACAGTTAGCAGCCCTCTCTGAAACTTTAGTGACGCCTCACAAACCTTGGCCTTCCCTGGCCAGATGCCGACCCTCTCTGAGGCTCTAATGACCTTCATAAATTCTGATGTCGGGGCCAGCAAAAATGTAAACTAGCATTTGTGTGATGCTCGTCAGAGTTCTGTCATCTGTAACTATTTGTGTAACTTTCTGGGCTGTAAAGCTGGACTGCAGGAAAGCTGCGGCTGCTGCCTTTTTCCTGCGGTTTTGGGTGGGAGAGGCAACTTGGCTGGTCGAAATAATAAGCTTGCTTTAATTTGATTTTAATTGGAGAGGGTGGTCTTATCTTTCTTATAGATCTCAAACCCCCCTTTTTAAATTCTTGTCCTCTCTTTTTTCTCCGAATATGTATGACCAAGGACAAGAGCACAGAGATTGTTGGCAACCCATTGTTCTTTCTTTGATAACCATTTGTTATCCTCTCGACCCCCATCACTCATTAAGTACACTGACTGCCTGACCTCCCTGCTTCTTTATTTCAGAAGGAAACTTATTTTTCCCTAAGCCTCGAAGATGGACAGATGGAGGGGTGTTATTACTGAAGGCAGCTTTTACCCAATATGAGCAGGAGATATATATTCTTTAGAGAAGGAGAATAGTTTACGTTACTAATGAAGCCAGATTTAAAGTTAGGTAGTTAGTGTAGTTAGGTAAATCGGGTCTAATACCGAGTGAAATCTAAAATGGAGGCCATGCTGGGAATGACTCAGGGAAAACACAGGACAACTCATGGAATGTTAATGAAGTCCCAAAGAGGCCCTAGGCCAAAGTCCACCTGGAAGAAGTATTAATGAATAGCCCCCAGCAGATTTGAAGATATCCCATCACAAAGAAGTGATAATGAAGTCCTTTCTGCTCAGACTACTTCTTTGGCCCACCTGTGTCCCACCCCTCAGGCCTTTCCACCTACATTCCATCACTGAAAGAACTATAAAAAGGGGAGACAACCGCAATTCCACGGATTCCACCTCCTGGGTCCCCTTCTTCCTCCGGGACAAGTCTTTTCTGCTGTCCTTTAATAAATTTCTAATTTCTACTCTGACCTTGCCTCGGCGTGCTTCTTTGGTGTTATTCTTCAACATCGGGGAGCAAGAACTCGTCACCGGTCAACATCGGTAACACTAATAGCTTACAGTTACTAATACTAACCATAGTTTATATTACTAATTTACATGACCGTTAGGAAACAAACCTAACTTACTACTGAAAGACCCCCGTTTCCCTGTCCAAGGAGAATCACACGAAACACTGGCTGCAAAAAGCAAGAGGTGTTTATTGAGACACAGGTGCCTGCGGGTG